TGTTAAAATTGTGAATCCATAAAACTATTACCCTATATAGGTAGGTAATGAATTACAATTATCTATAAATTATTTATCATGAATTCATAAAAAATGATTAAAAATTAAAATAAGTAGATAAAAATAAGTGTTTAACTATATTTAAATTAATCAAATTTATGTATTATGTAATAATTGCAGGAAAGTAGCTAATGACACTTGAAAATAAAAGAAACCTTATTAAACGACCAAAAAATCATATAAGTTCTTTAGCAATATACGAAAATTTTCCAAATTCGAACACATTTAATTTTATAGTCATCGATCAATAATTAAATTTAAGTAAGTATATGATTATAACGAATAGATCTTGCAGGTTTATTAACTCCGCGATAGAAGTTAAATGTCAGAAAAAGTAGAGGAAGGGAGTCTTTAAAAAAATTTAATTTTTAAAATTCAAACAACACAATAAAGGTTGCAAACATAAATTTAGATTTTAGAAAATAATTCAAAACTATTAAATAGTAATTATAAAATAGCTTTATTATTAAAGAGAAAATAAGTTTTAGGTACCTAAATTATATATTCAAAAAGTAAAATACGTGATATATATATTACCTATAATAATTATTGTATATACCTATACGGCTATACCTAATGAAATTGTACATAAAAAAGTATTTATACGTTTACATGTTAAATATTTATAAAGTACACAAATTATTAAAATTAAAAACAAAGTAATATATTTTTTAATTTAGTCGTTTTTATGGGGTACCGGGTTTAATATATTTCGGGAGCCTTGTAATACTTAAATCATGATATATATATATTTTTAACACATTATATGTATTATTAGTAGAGTTTGAAACTTATAGCCCCTAAAATCGTTAAAATAAGCGTTTAAAAATTTCATTATAAGCACTCAAAAAAGTATTTAAAAAAATTAAATTTGAGCAAAAATATTTAATCAAAAAAGAAAAAAAATTTTTTACACGATAAAGTAGACATGACATGATTTGTAACTGTGCTAAAAATAATATAATTAAAGATTAAGAAAAATATCAAAATAAAATGATAAGGAAGTTTTTTAACTAAAAAATCAAAATAATAAATAAATTTAATCTTTGTATTATAAAAATATCAAACTTTACTTTCGAGATATTTTGCCTTATTGTTTATTTTATTATAAACAAAATTGCAGGAAAAAACCATAAAAAGTAGAAAAACTGGCCAAAAGAGTATAAATAATTAAAAATATTGAAAATAAGCATCTTTTTGAAAAATCGTTGAAAAAACAAAAAAAAAAGCATTTTCAAATTTCATAATTGAACGTGTTATAACATGACACACTTCACACCACTGTGCTATATTTTAAGTCATTCCATAAAAATAAGCAATTGCTTTAGGTCCTGGTCCTGATTATTAGCTATTAAATATTTTATTTTATCAGTAAAAAGTAAATTCTTGAACAATATTTTTCACATACCCAAACAGATTTAATTAGAGATTCAGACACTCCATTTCGATAGATTCATTATTTTTTTTTTCTAAGATGATTCATTTGTATCAAAAAAAAAAGAAAAAAAAGAAAAGCAGTTATAGAAACTGCTCCTAAATTGTTATTTTCTTGAGTGTATAATTTATCAATTTATTATTTTTTTTCAACCTATTTATTTTTTACAATAATAAAAAAATTAGTAATTAATATTAAGTTTAGTGTAAAGTTTACTTAAGTAAAATAAATTGAATGTATTCCGTTTTGAAGTTTTAGAAGTTTTAAAATAAAATTGTTGTCATAAATTATTATTTTTCATTACATACCTATTAAAATTTCGCGGGCAAAGCCACGACGGGTAACCCGCACCCGCTAGTATATATATATACACATAATATATTATTATATATTATATAATATATAATAATATATTATGTAATATATTTTATTTATATAATGAAAAATAATAATTTATGACAAGAATTTTATTTTAAAACTTCTCTATAAACATATTTGATATAGTATTTCAATTTGGTGTCATAATTACTAAACTTGTGGGTGTACTGACTTAGAGGCATTTCACATAAAATTATATTATATCTATGTGAAAAAGCCTAAAAATGTGAGCTAGAGGCTCACGACTTATTAGCGCTTACTTATCGATGTAAATAATTATACAATTTACACGTAAAATTTTGTTTTTTGCCAATAACAATCCCTTAAAATCAAAACTTTGAAAAATCCTTTCTTAGTGCTTGGCAAAATTATAATATTAATTTACCCTCAACATTTCAAATCGATTGCTCTATAATATAGGTTTGACTCTGCATCAATTATGAATGAGTCACTCAGGGAATTTTCGTTTATATAAATATACAGTAAAACCTCTCATATACGAACCCTTGTTAAGACGAAATCTTGTTTTATGCGGAAATTTATTATAGTCCTGGTAGATTTATATAATTTAACATAGGATTGAACCTTTGATAAAACGGAAAGCTTTTTTTGGTCCCATATATGATACATACTTTTAACAAACGGAAAAACATATAAAACGAATAAAAATATTTTTGATACCCACATTTATTTTGTTATTAAACAATTATTAAGGTTAGCAATATTAATACGTGTCGATAGATAACTACATTTTATCTTAAACCTATATCATCAGTGCTCATTATTGTCGCGCCGTATATAGTCGTAGTTTTCCTGTCTTTCGTTTTGTCTTACTTGTTCTCGCAATGTCTTCAAAGATTTATTTAAGTTTAAATGAAAAAATGAAAGTTTTAGAAGAAAGTTGTTAATTGCTAAAGAAAAAACTGGACAAAACTAAACTTTACATGAATTTTGGAACTTTTAAATTGTATTTTAATCTGCTTACTTTATTTTATTAAATTATTATTTGATTAATACCTACTAAATATTATGTTCTTCAAATTTTGGGATTGAAATTTATCATTGTTTTGAAATTTCTAATTAATACATAATATGTATTAATGTATTATAATTATGTAATAGTATGTAATTTTTTACTAAAAATTAAAATTTATTGTAGTTTATGATATTTATTAATTATCAACATTTTAATTTTTATTATTGCCCAGAAAATGCTATTAGGTACCTTAAATCTTATAATAACTCTATAGTAGTCTATATTAAGGATTTTTATTTTTTATTCAGTTACATGGAAACCTGCTTAAAACGGAAATTTTTTGTCGGTCCCTTGCAATTCTGCACAGGACAGGTTTTACTGTATATAATAATTAAATACTAATTATATAATAATATAAATATAATAATTTATTTGAAAATTCAATCAATTTACTGCAACATTTCTAAAAGACCGTTTCTGCTCGCAATTGTTTTTCGTATATAATGATACGTAAATGAATTCAAATTTAACACATTCATCACGGTGACCCATTTGACACGTATACTGTACAGCAAAGCGGTACTCACATGTCTACATTTCAGTTTATTTTTGTGTACTTATAATTCATATTTTAATATTTTACCATCAATATATAGATAATAATTAGGCAGTTCTCAATGATTATTTTGAGAAGGCATCCAAATAACTAATGTAGTGATGTCTAAAATAGGTAGCTAAGTGTAAATTGTATAATATGTAATAATATAGGTATTACAAATGTACAATTTGAGTTTAAAATATTTACGTGATAAATTAAAAATTGCAGTCCTTTTCTAAAAAGTAGAATTATACTCACTTATAATACCCCTAAATACACACGCTTCCTGATCATACTGAATTTGATAACAAATGTCATTGTATCTATATAATATGCAGTATGCTCTATGTAATTTTTACTCAGAGGACAGTTATCGTGATTAGAAGATTGTATGTGATGTGTTGGAGTTTCGAGTTATAGGGAAAGTAACTCTCCATGTTCAGGGGTACAAATATTTTTAGAAATCTAAATTCTTTCTCATAAAAAATATTTTTATCATTATGTATACTGTACTATATACTTTGTATTGTATTTAGTAATTTAATTTATGAAATAAAATTATTGTAAAAATTAAAAAATTATTAGATTACCAGCATCATAAATGTTTAATGTGTATTATTTATATAATACACAATGACTCGTTTTACTTAGAATTTAAAACCGTAGTCATATGTAAAGAACATTTTTGTTTAGAGAATGCTATTGTATACCCTGCACACTTCCTGGCTCTGCTTCCGTGAATTATAAGGTACTTATATGCAATGATATTTTTGGGAAATAAATTAAAAATTGTATAAAGACATATTATATATATATATTTATTTCAAATAAAATATAATTATAAATACGCGTATAATAATAATAATAATAATAATTGAAAAAAAAATATAAATAATAATAATAATAATAATAATAATATAAAATAATAGTTATAATAGTGGTGGTTTTAAAATTTTTGTTTATACGCGTATTTATGATAAAATTTGTGCAAAAATATTAACAATAATATATGATGCAAAATTGCAACAATGTGTTTTAAATGAAAAATGAAAAATTCTATTAAACATAAGCATATAATAATATAAAATAAATAAATTTATACGAGTACATATTATATGAATTTAGATTATGATAAAATTATAAATTAATAATAAGAAAATAATTAATATAAATATAATATGATCAATAAAGGTTTTTAAAATTTTCGGTTTCATAATGTGTATATTATAATACAATAAAATAAATTTGTTTTTTATTCGTGTTACAGTAAAAAATAGAAATAATATAGTATGATAAAAATAAATAAATTATTCAGTAAAATATTGGTTTTAAAATTGGATAAAAACTAATTAATAAATGCTAAATTATAATGTGATGTGTATCATGATACAAATATTGATATATACCAACAAAATTACAATACAGGATATTAGTACTCTTATAGGTGATCCATACATTTGAATGGTCAATACAAATTCTGTCACACACATACACACACATTCATATTATATATATATATAATCAAATAATACAAATATAATTATAATATTAACATTTTTATAGTAATAAAGTCTATAAAACATTACAATAAATAGTAATTAATACATTTTGTTGTTAAAGACATATTTCATGCATAATATAGCATGGTATTCGTAAGTGTACATATTGATTATTACTAGATTGTAAGTAGACACATTGATATTATTGTTGGTTATTTAAATGTTATTATTATTATTTATTTTTTTGTACACATATTTATCATTCATGACTGCCGCGTATTTTTTTATTTACCACACACGTCTACATACCTATGTATTTAGACTTATTGATACAATTACTGTAAATAATATTTATTTTAAAATATTCACTCAGATTTATTAACTATAAAATTAAAAATACGAATACCCTTAAACACATGTATTTGACGATTTTGCTTGGAGGTAAATATATTTGGTTAATATTTCCATTGCATATACGATATCATATTATATTATTACTATGATTCATGGTTTGTCAACTATGTAGTATAAAACCCTCTCGACTAGACTTTATTTTGACTAAGCTGGATTCTGACTTGACTAGATTATGTTTCAGCTATATAACCAATGTACCTATACTTATACACAGTACATACTACATAAGAATATTAAATCTCCTGTATAACCCACAATGCTTGACTAGATTTTATTTCGACTTGACTATATTAAAATACAGTAGGTATTTAGGTTTATTTTATTGACTATGCTTGACTAGATCAACTTTTAGACTAAATATTTTATGCTCTTGACTAGATTGTATTTCAACTACATTTCTACTGACTACTTTGACTAGAGTTTATTTTAACTTCTTTAAACTATACATGGTCTAAATTTATTCGATTGAACATAGATATTTTTTTTTACTGCTTAAAATAAAATAATATATACAAAACATATAATCTTATAATATAATTTAAATTTATTTGGGAGAGAAAGGATATAAGACGTGCCTATATTTTATATAGGTATTGGTCTGAATATATAATATCTGGGGAAAAATGACTAGAATATACTCATGCCGTATGATGGCGGTTTTTTTTTATAGTAACATTTATAATTAATGAATAAATATTTATATATACTACCTATACACATAATGATAATGTACCTATATTAAACGTGAAGTGTGACAGTGGCGTAATTTAGTCAATATGAAACTATATACACCTAAACTCATATATTGACAATCATCGACAACTATCACACTTACCTATATATATATATGTATAAATTATAAAATATAAATAACAGTTAATTCCATAAACATATAAAAATAATATAACAATACAACATTGTCGTTGGTATACTTAATTTATAATATAAATACTGACACATTATGTCCCAGAGTCTGTCGCATATAAGTCAGTGGTGACGGATTCGAACTGAGTTAAAATTATGTATTTTGTCATTATATATAATACTGTAGTGCCGCAGTGGTTGTGCAGGCGACTTGAATGCCCGTCACTGCCGAGCGACATGCGAAGACTTATTTTCCACGAGGAAGTTTAGGCTTAAGTTCATTATGAATAGAAAAAAAACACTTAAAAATATAGTAGGAAAATATAAGTAGGAAAAGGATTGTTTAGTGAAATAGATGATGGGGAGGAGGTACTAGATGATGATTGATTGCGTGAATGGAATTTAATATGAGAAAGGTAGGCTTTATAAAAGACTAGAATTAAGTTTATTTTTGTAAAAAATTACAATGACTAGACAATATATACTAGTTGGACTAGACTGTTAATATTACGCTAAGGCACTAACAAAGTGTTAGACTTAAATATCTAGTATTATATGGTATTAATATTATTTTTCTTATCATTAAATCGTTAATTAAATATTATATATGAGTACACGCGCGTATATGACTAGAATTATTTTCATACACATCGCATACATATATTTTATTATTTATGACTAGAATTATTAGGTTTTTTGACTAGAATTTTGTTATATGACTATACTGGGTGTACAGAGTATGTAGGTTAGTAATTGTATCAAAAAGTATAATTTTGAACCGATAAAAATACGCAAAACTGAGGTTTATTGCATTCGAACTATTTAAACAGAATTTACTTTTTTGAATAAAAACGTGTGGTGTAAAACTACTTAGGTATAACCCTTGGCGCGACGACGTTGGGCGAGCGCGCGGGTAGACGGCGTCAATTGTGATGTTTAAAAGTTCCCATGTGCTGTTTATTACTAACCAACAGTAAAATTATCAATGTGCTTACCTACCAATTATATTATGCAATTTAAATGAATATCATATACCTATAACTGCGACGCGGCAGTCGCTCATTTGGCGATGTCGTTGCACTTCTTGTCGTTGTCATTGTTGTCGCCGTCGTTGTTGTTGTTGTCGTTGCCGGCGGCGGCGGCAGCAGCAGCCGCAGCCCGCTGTAATATGTTCTTCTTAAATCCCGAGGCGGACGTCATTGGCGCCGCTATTACGTTGCCACCGTCGTCACCGTCGTTGACGTCGATGGCGGCTATGTCGCTGACGATATCAGAAGCGGCGGCGACGTGGGGAGCGATGTTAACCAGTTTGCCGGCGTTGCTGTCGCCGGTCTTGCAGTTCTTACCGGCGCCGGTCGTTTTCACCGCGGTTCCGGTGCCGTGCCACCGACGGTGCGACGCTAAGTTGGCCGGACACTGAAACACCTTGTCGCACTCGGGACACGTGTACCGGACGTGCACGATGCACCGACACCGGTGACGGGCCAGCGCGAAGGCGTCGACGTACCGGACGCCGCACAGCCGGCACCGGTACGGGCCCAGCGCGTTTGGGATGCTCTCGATCTGGCGACGAGCCTCGTCGGTGGCCACGACCACGTTGAACTCGGGGTCGATGTCGCCACCGTCGTATTCCTCGTCCCGCGGGTCGCCGTCCTGTGCACCGCCGCCGCCACAGTCGGCCGGTGCCGAGTACGGGGGCGACGACAGCGACGACGACGACGACAGGGACGGCGAGGACGACGGCAGCCGTTTCCGGGCGCCGGCCATCGGTTCTTCGGGACCGGCCGGTACGATGATCGTGCCGGATACCGGCGACGACCTGTCCACGTGCCGGTCGAGCATGAGCTGTGGCAGCAGTTTTCGCGTGGCCGCTTTTACCGCCGTCGTCGAGGCCGACGCGCCGCCGCCGGCCGCGTTTTTCGACGACTTACCGCGGTTCGCCCCGTCGCGGCCGCGGGCCGTTTTCCGTCGTGGTCGCCGGATATCCGTCGGATCCGGCGCGTTTGCCCACCACGCGCGCAGTCGTCGTGGCCGTGGCCGTCGTCAGAGTGGCTTTCACGGACAAGTCCAGCGGGCCCGCGGACGCCGCGTCGTTCGGCTCTAGCCGGTGTCGCAGCTGCAGCAGTCCGCCGCCGTCGTTTCGCTCGAAAGGCCAATACTCGTCCTTATTGTTGACGACGTCGCCGATCCGCTGTCGCTTGCCGCCGGGCCCGGCGTATTCGTCGTCCACGTCGCTGCTGCCGCTTCCGTCTCCGTGGTGGTGATTGTGGTGGTGGTGGTGCTGTTGCTGCTGCTGCTGCTGGAGGTTACGCAAGCGGACGGCCGCCGCAGCCGTGGTCATCCACCACGTCCACGACGGGTCGGCCGCCGAAGCCTGAGCATAATCGGTCATCGCGACCTCGCCGTACCGTTCAGATGATATCGATATAATTTAATGTTTATATTATTCTACGACGAGCGTCGTCTCGGTACAAATCTGATCGAATGCGATCGCCTGATGCGCTCGGAAGACGTCTCGGGTACCCCGGGACGGTTGGTGCGTGCTTACGCGCTGCGTGCAAGTGCGTCTAGTCGGTGCGCGCCGCTCCTGTTGCGGTGCGTGACTGCCGACTGGCGACCACTGCTGTTGGTGTTGCCGGCGCGGTATGACAGCGGTGGCGGCGGCGGCGGCGGCGGTGGTGGTCCGTCGTCGTAGTCTGCGTACCGTTTTATCGGCGGCGCGCGGTATACCACCACCGCCGCCACCGCCGACCAATCGCTGCGGCCGTGAGCCTACGCAGGGGGCAGGACCCCGGTGTCCACTGCCGCCCAGTACGCCACTCATCGGCGGCGCGGTGGTTGTGCAGCAGTGTGACGTAGTCGCCGTAGGTACGACAATAACAATAATAACAATAAACAACGCGAGCGCACACGTCGCGTATAATATGTAATATTATAATACTGTATTGTGTGTGTGTGTGTGTGTGTGTGTGTGTGTGTGTGTGTGTGTGAGCGCGCGCGGAGATACCTTTGTTGTCGGTGGATCATGTGAACTGGGGGTGGGTTAAGGGGGGTGCGCGTGCCACGACGGTTGCAGCTGCCGCTCGACGGCACTGTATTATAATACGGCGCGCGCGTCATGCCACGGGTGGGTGGCGAGTTGATAAAAATCGCTGCGGCGGTGGCGGCGTGCGAACAGAAATCTCCACTTCATCTCTGCCCCCAATTTTGGCGCAGCGCTTTCCGTTTTTTTTTTTGGCGCTCCCAGTCGTCCCCACGGTCGTGTAATGTATTATTTTATACTATGTGACTATTATGTCGTCGTATGTGCGGTGCATAGGCCATAGAGTGAGCTTGCTGCAGTGTTATTTAAACGCACGCGGTATATACGACGGGTATACGTGTCATGTCTGTGCGCGGCGACTTAGTATAGTCCGACGGTGGGTAGGTGGCTGGTGGCAGGGCGGGTTGGCTGGTCGTCGGACGAATGGGAGGGTTGATTTTGACGGTTATTATATTATATATACGAACGATCCCGCCACGACACAAATCTCAGCCCTCGGCCGACTGTTGTACGTTACGTTAGGGACGTTAGGGTGGTTAATACTTACAATAGTTATAGGCTATAGCTATAATTCGTATACCTATACATCACGCGTATATGATTAAGTACGATGTATTATTATTTTTTTATAGTTCGCATAATGTACTGCATTGGTCGCGTAGTACGCGACTGCAGTATCGTGAAGAGTGAGTAATTTATACTACGTACAGATTTTTATAATGCTTGCAATAAACTGCAGTTATTGTTCATTCACATAACATTATATCTAATATGCCGCCGAACGTCGAAAAACGACGATAATTTAAACATAGTCATTGGTTTGTTGTGATAATGTGATTAAATTTCAAAGTATTATAATAAATAAGTATGCACGAGTACACATATTTCCCAAAATAGAATTTACGTGTAAATAATTTATAAAAAAGTTACGTTTTGTATAGCATTTTATTAAAATAAATATAGCAATTAAGTTGGATAAACTCAAAAATATGGTAGGTACAAAAACAAACAATGAAAATAGTTAACTTTGCACTGTATCAATTACATTTTTAATATTAATAATGCAATAGCTTTTTAGATCACTATACATATATTAAATGCACTTCAAGTATGGATCAAAATTTAATGTTTGAATTTGTTTAAACAAGTACCTACACATAACTAAGGTCTACAAATAATAATTACAAAGAATTGAGTATTATTTTATCAGTGAGGTATCTGTATAAAAACATTATGTTATCATGAACATAAAAAAATAACTTAGAATAGCTTAGAATGACAATTTATTTGTAAAAGAGAAATTACAAAATATGATTTTCTTGTTAAGTATGAATGTATGATACAATACATTTTTTGTGAATTATTTAGGATTAACTTATTTTAATTCTGTGTCTAATAAACAAATATCAAAAAAAATAAAACGTGCAATTAAAAATATTAAAGGCTCAATGTATATCTTTTAAGTACGTTTAATATTATTTTTATTACTAATTTCTTTATAATGAATAATTTTTTATGGAAAAATATTTAAGTCATTTTATTATTGGTATTTTTTAATGTGTTTAATGTGCCTATTAGCTAGGTATTTTGTGTTTATTGTGTATATTTGTTTTGGTCTACCGAGTATCGGCTTGCATTGACATATTAATTAATATGCTCTAAGGTTATACCGTATAGGCATATTACATACAATCAAAATATTAATTCTCAATTGAAAAAAATAATTTGTTAAGCGTTTTAAATGACGATGATGGAAATAATAATAATAATAATAATAAATGTTATTATGTCATTAATCATTCCAATATATAGCTATTTACATAATATATTATAATTTATAATATACTTTAAATAGGTAAAAATGTATACTGTCTACCTATGAGTTTTGACTTTCAGTTAATTTATCCATTATTTATTGGAAAATAGTTATCAAAAAATAAACTAAATGAAAAACTGCTGCAGATAGGATTCATTAGGAGAAATGTTGAACTAAATATTTAACTATTCTTTTTTAAGTACTGAATAATAGTTGTCTTTTAATTTGGTATTATTGTTAAAACTTTTTTAACCAGTTTTGTATATAATTTATTTAATAATTATGTTATTTGTTTATTAAAAATTATTAATTTGAAAAATTATAATTTAATCATTATGCTGCAGTAAGGTAACTTTAATATATTTAGGTCTGAATGTTTAATATGGAATTTTTAGCTTACATTATACTAATAAAGATAATTAACGTAATATAACTTTTATACTTTATATATATATATATATATATATGTAAAGGATATAAAGAATACATCATATAATATGTAATACATTTGATATTATATGTTTCAATTTCAACAATAATTGAACGTTAAAGTTTAAAATTATATTTCTAACCAAAATAAAAGTAATAATTAAAATGTGGCAGTTAAATTATGTTATTAAATCAATGAAATACATCGTCTGGTGTTCTACGCTATTATATAGTCGCATATATATATGCTTATACTTATTTTCCTTTTTTTTTACTTTAATAACGCAATTTTTCAAATTCTAATTTTTGGAATTTTTAAGTATACTTACAGAAATACCATATTTTAAATTATCAAAGTTTTATTAATACCTATTAATAAGTGTTCTGTAGTGACATATACTTTTGTTTTTCAAATGAGTCTTTTTTTTTTTTTTACAAATAATTATTTGGATGACTATTTTGAAAATTTTGATGTACCTATCTAAATTTGAACGAATATTTTCTGAGTTTTAAATATTTTGTACAAAATGTCCATGATAATGGATTTAAAGATATAAGGACTGATATTGAAAATTGTAGTAAAAATTGTCGAATATAGTAAATATAGGTACTATAGATTAAATATTACATCTATTTTATATTTTTGTAAAACTATTTTAAGAACTGTTATTCTTAGTAATTAAATGTAAAAAAGGATGGCTCTCTTTTAAAAATAGAAGTTTCTTCTACCACACTCCTGGTATTTTTACGAAAAATCTAATTATTAAAATATGGCTATTAATTATTATACTTGAAAATCCAACAATCATAATTTAAATAAATTTATTATTTAATAAAAAAAAGAAAGTAAGCATGTTTGATGAATCTTTGTGTATTGTTTTAAACGATGGTATAGAGATATATCAGTATCAACTGTTATTAGTTTTTGGATGAATTTACGACAAAATTCAATAATAAATTAGTATTTAGGCACTGCTGTAATATTTAACCCTCTTAAAATCAAAAAATCAATAATTAACCGGTTTCAATTTAACTTTATAATAGAGATTATGATATTCATATACACGTACTAAATCTTAAAATAGTTAAAACCTTTATTCATTATATTAAAGTTCACTACACCCTCTTTAAATCAAACAAAGACTATGAATTAACTGGTTTTAGTTGACTTTGAGGAGAAACCTCGGTGACTACAGATTAGATCAGATTAGTGTAATTTACAACGATTACGAAAAGTAGTTAAACGAAATATTGGCGGAAACACTTTTAATGGACACAAACATAAAATCAAAAATAATTGTTCATACTCGGATTGTTGCTAACATGTGTGCGACCGATGGATATACACACCATCTATCCACACAAGACAATGGTTAGAGAGGGGCGCACCCTTTTATCGTCCTGACGGCGGTAAAGTTTTATAACAATAACAATTTTGTGGTCTCGGCACATTCGTTTCATCGACCTGGCCTATATTAATTACTTATTTTGCTTCCTATCATTACATGCCTATATTATTAAATATTTGTAGATAGCTGTTTGTATAGCATAACCGTGTACGGTATACACCATAATAAACGGATATACAACAGTACGTATGTACGAAACACGCACTTATTATATATAAACGTCGATCGGATCGGTAAACATAAGTTTGAAGAGGTTGTGTTGGACGTACAAATATAATTTTGAAAATTAATGATATAAATTGATGTATTATAAGTTGAACTTATTAGTTTACGACATATAAGATTATTTTCAAAGACGATTCGATAACCTATTAATATCGCATATTTAGATACATATTTAATCATGATGGAGGAGGAACACCGACGAAATATGCATTGTAAAAATAAAATAACCGTAGATCGATAAATGTTGTCTATTAATAATAATACAGCAAACGAGAACTGCATCAAGTCTCTAGTGCTCTCCCCTAAATATACCTTTGCACGTTACAATATTATCAATGCCGTTGCTGGTATACAGATTTTTTTTAAATTCATTATTACAAATAATATATTCGAAGTCCGGTACTATAAAAACATATTATTATACTAAGCTAAAATGCATATATTACCAGCCAATCCGGTTGCCGCCGGTTAGAAAGTGTGCGTGCGTATTGTGTAGCAGTGGCAGCTGATGTGATTCAAGCTACATACCGTTCCCGTGGGGTGATTGCACGGGGCTGCAGAGGCGCGTATGTACACGAATGCACGCGTCTAAATATGACGCGTGCGTTCAATTATATATTATAATTTATAATAATGTATGCGTAAAAAAAAAGCAACTGACACGCGTACCATGAAATTTATAATACTTATAGTTAAAATATATGCACCAGTTTAGAAAAATTCACCGAGTACTGCAACTATATAGGGATTTACTGCAGCACTCAGA